ACCATCCCCCTGCCTTGCTTCCGCTTTTGCGGCAGCAAGTTGATGCGACGCCTCTGCTTGTTTGTACGCAATCTCCTCCCCTTCCCCGGTCCTCGTCCGCTCCGCCAACGGCGCCTTCAAGGCACCAGCAGTTCGTTGGCCGTTTTTGTTTGCGGTCGGGCCGAGGCGGACGACGCGAAGCGTTTAAATTATTATTTGTGGCCGCCTTCCTCTCGCATATTGGAGTAGCGGTTATGGTTAGGACAAAAGCCTTTTGGGCCGTTAGACCCATTGCATTTGACAGGGGCCCTTGTCTGAAGTCTTTTCGGGATGGGCGGTTAGTGCCGGTTGAACTCTTTGGCGGGCCGGGGCAACGTTCTATCATCGCTTATTGCATGTATGGCCATGCTGGGGCGCGTTGGGAAGCCGAGAAACAGAGAGCTTTGATTAATATGTTGAGGGGTAGGATGCGGTGTCACGAGGGGACGTTCTTACGCTCATCATCGGTTAAAGGGTTAAAGGTGATTATCTAAGTTCCTTGGCGCGTGGAGGCTGGTTCGATATCGCCTTTTGGGGCCACGGTGGGCTTGACAACTCGCACACAAGTCCCAAAGGACAAGGCTCGAGGATTGATTTGGGCTTTGTCAACAGTCTGCTTCCGCTCTTATGTCTCCGTATGAAATGCGAACGGCCACTACTCACTGCGATCACTCGGCTCTCAGTGTTTGTATGTCCCATCCCATTGGTGCTCAGGTGCGGTGCATTACAAGGTCAGTTGGGCGAAAGTTGGAGTAACAGACCTGTCTTGAGGAGTCGGATAAACATGTTGAGACGGCTAAAATCAACGTTGTTCCTGTGTTGGTGCAAGGAGATGTGGATGGTGTCTTTCGGCAGTGGTCTAAATGTGCAGAGGAAGTCTACTGAAAACTTCAGTGAAAAATGATCGTGGTGTGCCCTCCCTATTCTGGTCGTGGACATGATCGGTTTCGGAAACTGGCACGTTCTCCCAGAGCAAGAACAGCGAATGTTATGTTTTTATAAATTTGTCAACTTTCATGTGCTCTTCAGAGCGCTGAGGAGTTCGGTCATCGTGCAGAGGGCACTTGGGCAAATCTTGCTGAGGAATTGGGTGGCGTTCCGGATCCATGGCATCCCGAACTACGCGAGCATCTAAGCCACTGCGTGTCACAATCTTGTTCGATGTGTATTGCGTCTTTACTCCGCAATTACATTCAGAAGTTGACCAGAGACCTTGATTGCGATGTGTGGCGGGGGTTGCTTCATGCATGATTTGGATTGAAGCCCCCATCAATTCCAAAATTTGAAGCAGCTGAAATTGAAAAGATGTGTA